CATTGATTTATATTTCTATCTTAGGTCAGTACCACAGTCTTGATTTATGTAACTTTGTAGAAAGTTTTGAGATCAGGAAGTATGAATTTTTAACTTTGTTCTTCTTTTTCAAAGTTATTTAGCTATTCTTGGTCCTTTGCATTTCCTTTTGAATATTAGGGTCAGCTTACTGATTTTTGCAAAAAAGAGACCTGAGATTTTGATAAGGATCACACTGAATTTGTAGATTAATTTTTTGGATGACATCACCATCTTAAGAATATCAGCTCTTGTGATCCTTGACCATGAGATGGATGTATTTCCATCTATTTAAATCTTCTTTCATTTCTTTCAACAGTGTTTTGTAATTTTCAAAACATACATTTTTGCACTTCTTTTTGAAAGTTTATTCCTAAGTATTTTTTCTTTTTATACTGTTGTATTATAAATGAAATTGTTTTATTAATTTAATTTTCTAATTTTTTTTTTTTAAATATGGAACGCTTCACGAATTTGCATGTCATCCTTGGGCAGGGGCCATGCTAATCTTCTCTGTATCGTTCCAATTTTAGTATATGTGCTGCCGAAGCGAGCACTAATTTTCTAATTTTGTATGGCTATTGTATAGAAATACTATTTATGTTTGCATATTGCCTGGTGTAGGACCAGGGCCAAGTTCTCTGATGTTCTGAGTAAGCATCGGTCTCAGTAGCCACTGTGTCCCTTGGTCTCTACTGTGTGGCCTTCACAGGTGGTCCTTCCTCTCTTACAGCTGCAGTGTGTCTAGCATGTATTCCCGCCCCCACCCCCGGGGTAGAGCTGTTTTCTTTCTTTTAGATGCAATGAGGTTCCTCTGGCAACCTGACATTTCTTATTAAACTTCTGCCTGGGAACTAAGACTTTTGTACCATAGGGGAAATAGAATAGATGGGATTACGCATAGTTTTAGCAGTGATTCCTGTTTCCCTCCCCATCCAGGACCATAAGCGAAGCTGTCTCAGGATTATCCCATATCTTCCCTCTAGGTGAGGGAAGATTCATAGACCCTGCAAGAGGGTGAAAACTCCCCTATATTTATAGTCTCTGGGGTCTTTACACTCTCACTGTAGCCCATATTTAGCTTTTAGAGATTAATTTAAAAGTTTTACTTGAATTCTTCTTATTAGCTTATATGAGATCCAGCAGTGTCTGCCCCAGGGAAGCAAACGCTCAGAATCTATTCCTCCCTCCAGGCATGTGTCTGTTTCCAGATTGTGGGTTAGTTTGTTACCCTGCAGCTGCAGTTTTCTGACAGGCTTAATAAAAATTATTAATTTGCAGTTTGATAAGGGTGGGAGAAATGCTCTTTCCAGCTCTCTACATTTCTGAATTGAAACTGGGACTTGGCTGTCTTGATTTTGTCTCTGATTTTTATCAAGCAGAGAATGATCCAGGCTGCTCATTTTGAGAATACTTTAAATAAGACAGAACAAAGAATGAACCCAAAATAGAGGGAGAATTAGAGAGTGTTCAACATAGAGAGGAAATGAGAGGTCTAGACTTATTTCTTTAGCTTTGAACCTCTCTCCCTGAACTCTGTACTTGTGTATCCAACTTCTTATTTAACATCTTTCAGAAGTCTAATTTACATTTCAAACTTAACATTTTCAAATCTGAACTCTGGATTTTCTCTCTTCCCCAAATCTGCCTCTTCTGCACCCTTTCCTGTCTCAGGGATGGGAACTCCATTCTTTTGGTTGCTCACACCAAAATCCCCGAAGTCATATGTGATTTCTCCCTCTCTCCCACGTTCAATATCCATTTCAATGTTAAATCCGGTTCAGGGCTGACTTCAGAATACATCCAGAAGCTGAATGTTTCTCATCACCTCTAATGCCACCTCCTTGATCTAAGCTACCTTCATGTTTCTATCAGATGGGTCAAGTAGACCTCTCTGGGTCTGAATCTGTGGCACTGAGCTGTCACTCTCAGCTTACTCTCAACTGTCACTCTCAGCTTTACTAATGAAATACTATTGCGTGTTGAGTTCTGCTTGTGTCATGGAGGCATTAGCTCTGAGAATAAATAGTCCCTTCATGGATTACAACTATGAACTCAGGATAAAATTTAAAAAAAAATCTCTGGACATGAACAAAACCCAGGAGTATTCTGGAGAGGAGTCAAGCTTGACCAGAACAGGTTATTTTCCTAATTTCTTGGCCTTGGTGCTGAAGATAGCTACAGTTACAGCAATATAACGGACAGACTAAACTGGTAGAGAGACTGCTCCATCATCTGCCTGGGGAAACCACTGACATAGGCAACCACTAGGATGAATCTCAGAACCATTATGCTGGGTCAAAGCAGCCAAACACGAAGGGTGCATATTATAATTCCATTTATACAAAATTCTAGAAAATGCAAACTTATCTGTGGTGTCAGCACATCAGTGGTTGCCTGGGGCCAGGGGCAGAGGGAGCCATGGGCTGACAAGAGGCATATGGATATTTTGGGGTGATGGGAATGTTGTGTCTCAGCGTGTTGGTTGTTTCATGGATTTACACCATCGAACTCATCGAACTGTGTCCTTTAAACTGATGCATTGTATTGTGTGTAAATTATACCTCAGTAAGGTTGATAAAAGGTCCCAAAGTCTGTATTTAGGTCTTGCCTTTCCCCATCAGCCTGTGGTCCTCTAGAGGCAGGGCCACATCTTACTTGCATGGGCTGCACTTGAGACAGCAGTGCTCAGTGCTGAGGGGCCTCTGACACAGAGAACCTGAGTGCAAATTCGTGCTCTTCCTTTCACCATATGTGATCCCTGGCCTCTCCAGGGCAGTTGCCCCATCCATAATATAGGGACAAACCACCTAATGTATAGGGTATTTGGAGAGTTTAATGGATATAATCCTGTGTAAAGTTTTGAAAACAATGCAAGGCACACAGTAAGCACTTAATGCATGATAGCTATTATTATTCCTTTTGATGTTTATTATTTGGTAAAAACTCGAGGTAAAATAAATATCTTTTGAGTACCTATTGTGCCTCAGACACAGTGCACTTTGCTAAATTCAGTAACACATACAAAGTGTTTGATTCAAATGGCAATTGAATATCAAAGATTATTTTCTTTACATAGTTTTGATTATTTTTGCCTATATTAATGTAGAATTTCAGCATTTTTTTTTGTGACCTCATGAGAAACATGCTATTTGATTCTGTAGCTTTTTTTTTTCCCTTCTAACATAGCAGCACATTTCTCAGGTCGGGATAAGGGTCATAAGGGAAGCCTTCTAAAGCACAGTCAGCCTTCTATCAGTGCAGACAGTGGAGTCAACAGTGTAGCAAACACAGAGGGTGGCTGATGCATGGACTAAATTCTTGCTTCTTTTCTAAACAGAAAATGAAGCAAATGATATGTCTGACAAGATCCCCAAAGGGGACATATTCACATATGGAGAGCCCCTTTGTGCCTCTTTTTATTTTAGAGTAACATAGCTGCAAAAGCTATGTAATTTGACAGTAAAAATATTAACCTCTGAAGGCAATATTCCCAAGGTGACATTTACAAGCCATCTCACACATGCTCATAGATTAACATGACACAAATTGTCTGTTTTCAATCTCCATGTCCCTGTCCTCAGCTCTTCTTATATTAGGGTCGATAGCGTTTGGTTTTTGAGTTTTCTCTTGGGGCTCACACAGCCCTGGAGGTATCATTTAAATGAATGATGGGAACCAGACTCTGATCTTTACCTTGCCATGTCTTCCTGTCAACTAACAGTCCCCTCCTCAACAGATGTGTATTCACCCTGTGAGCTCACATGCAGGGATCTCAGTTCCTAGTTAAAAGGCCAGTTGACCCCTGGGAGCCCAAGGCCTCACATGTATCAGCTTTGTGATCTCATGCTTCCTCTGTCTCTTCTCCTGGTCTGATTCTGCTCGTGGTATATAAAATGACTCATTTTTTAATACTATTAACATGATAACTTCGTCTAAGTCACCTCCTCTCCCTCTTTAACCACTACTTGTGGTGGTGCACAGGAATGAATGGGTCCCAGAGAAAACAGTTGTGATGTTCACATACAGCATCTACATGCTGAGTGCCTACTATGTGCCCCACACTGTGTTAGGAGCAGAGACACAGCAAGGAAGAGGAGACAGGTCCATGTCCTCAAGCAGATTCCCTCCAGGTGGGGAACAGAGATAAAAACAACCAGGAACACTCGAAGAGTGGTAATTATCATGAAGTAAATTATATAGTATAACAGAGCAATATATAGTATAACAGAGCAATCTGGTACAATTAATCTAGTCTCAGTCATATGATATAAGCAATATGAAGACTCTAAGTAATATATTGCAAGTAAAATAACAATATTGTAAACTTAGCGTACACAGTAGCACACAAAGCAAATTAGATAGAGGAAAATAGTATACTATAGATGGAGAGCAAACAGTTGGGGGTGCTAAGTTTAAATTAGAAACTACTCAAGGAATGCATTCTGAGGAATAGCTTTTGAACGTCATTTATGATGCTTTTGGTGGCAAGTAACAAAACAAAACAAAAAATAGACAAAAATAGCTTTAACAACAACAAAGAGAGTCACTTGGTAAGTCTCAAAGTCCACAGGTTCAGGTGTGCTGGTCCAGCCGCTCCTCCAGCTCATTAAGAGCCTAGGTTCCTTGTGTCTTTCTGTCCTTCTGGGCTCGCAGTGTCAGCCTGGGCCTCAGGCTCTTGACCCCCGTGGCAGTCCCAGCTGTCATTCTCCACAGGACAACATCCAGCGGCGAGGAGGCGTCACTTCCGGTGCATCTTTCTGACCCATGAGGCCTTTCCCAGATCCCTGGCTGATTCTCACACCTATGGCTAGTGTCATGTCACGTGCCCCCAACCAAATCACTGCGCAAGGAGGATGGAGTTTTTGTTGCTGGGTTAGTGGAGGCCGGTGGTGGTGGAAGGCTGTGATTTCTGAAGAAAACATTATGAGAAAAGAGGAAGGGGGTGTGTGTGTGTGTGTGTTGTGTTGTGTGTGTGTGGGCAGAGGGCTGTGCGTGTGGTTGGATGTCAGTAGGATGTGGATGTGTCAAGTCTGAAGGACGCCGGGTCACAGCCCCAGCAAGATGAGGTGGTGGTCTTGGGACAGGCTGAGTCAGGAGAGGTCAAGGGAAGATGGAGACTGCGAGGAGGACGGGGGTCGTGCAGGGGGAGGCCCAGGCCGTTAGGGCCGGGTAGACCTCAGTGAGGGGTATGGGTCATATCTGGAGCAGCACAGGAAGTTTCTGGAGAGGACAGAGCCCTGGGCCCGCTGTCCGGGTCAGCTGCTGGCTCGTGGTGTTACATATTCACCACCTGGGTAAGTGGCGGTCCCTTTCCCTGCGCTGGGTTTAGTACAGGTAAAATGAGAGTCATGACAGGGTTATGGAGTTACTGTGGGGCTTAATGCAGGGAGAGGTGGGAGTGTCACAGCAGTGAGGTCCTGTTCAGTCAATTCTCATTATCTGAGGGCGTTATACGGTTGCTGTGAGTACTGAATTAGGAAATGCTGAACCTTTGCTTCTAGGAGATACACAGACACACCACACACACACAACACACACATTTCTCGTGTTCTATAATCTTAAATTCTAAAAGCAACCCTTCTGGTTAGATTTTATTTTATAAAAATCAACGTTCAGAAGTGTTAAGTGACTTGTCAGAGGCCACGCCACTAGCAGGTGCCAAGCAGGGATTCAAATGCTGTCGTACTGGACCCAAAGTCGAGGCTTCTGCATTGCACCCCACTGCCCTGCCCTGTCCGCGGTCTGGCCTTTACTCTCTGAGAGCTGAGACAAGAAGGCAGAGCAGAGCCTTGTTTGACCTCAGTGCAGGACGTGCGTGGCGGGGCAGGCGATTCAGCGTTTTCATCACTCTATGCATGTCTACCAATGACCACAAAAGCACTTCATGTATTGGTTTTGGGGTTACAAATAACTTTTAGGGAGTAGCTGAGTTCATAAATAAGGAATCCACAATAATGAGAGTGTAGTGTAATTGGTGAGACCATTGAGTGATGACTTCTGGTTTTTGTATATCTAATGAATCCTCTATACATTCATGTACCTCAAGTCTTAGCACTCAATGTGATTAGCCTTACTTGAATTGTTTGCTTGAATTACTTAAAAGCAGGGGACACACGCTTTTTTTAGGTATATGCCTATCCCAGGAGAAAGAACTCAAATGGTAGTCAACATACAGGCCAGGTGTGCTGTCTCACACCTGTAATCCCAGCACTCTGAGAGGCCGAGGCGGGCAGATCGCTCAAGGTCAGGAGTTCAAAACCAGCCTGAGCAAGAGTGAGACCCCTGTCTCTACTAAAAATAGAAAGAAATTAATTGGCCAACTAAAAACATAGAAAAAATTAGCTGGGCATGGTGGTGCATGCCTGTAGTCCTAGCTACTGGGGAGGCTGAGGCAGTAGGATCGCTTGAGCCCAGGAGTTTGAGGTTGCTGTGAGCTAGGCTGACACCACGGCACTCTAGCCTGGGCAAGAGAGTGAGACTCTGTCTCAAAAAATATAAATAAATAAATAAATAAATAAATAAATAAATAAATAAATAAATAAGATAGTCCACATACAGAATTGCTAAAGCCTCTCATTTTGTTATGTTTTTAAGTAATTTCTTTTATCCCTTATGGGCTATACGGCGACTCTTGAAAGATAGGGCGGGAATGGGCTCTGCGTGTGCTCTGAGAGAATGCAGAGGGTCACTACATTATGATTTCGTTTCTTATGCACCGAGAGGGCCTCATGGTGTCCAGAGCTGATGTGTTCCTTCCAGTGGGATGTGATTCACAGTGATTTGAAGTGGGATTAGGGGTGGGTGGATAGCAGTAGACAAGGAAGAACCAGAATTTTCCACAAATGCAGGAGAATTGAGGTCTGCACTGTGAAAGGTAGGATTGGAAAAGTTCTAGCAATAGGTGATGACCAACTGAGCTAGTGAGAAGAGCAGAACTCCCTAATGTAGGCTTCTAGTTGGTAGGGAACCTCATTCTCTTGAGGTAGACTCCATGCCACAGGAAAAGCAAGCAGAGTCTGGGGATGATTAGGGGTCTTACTGAACCTTCAACTTCTCCCAGTGCAGTGCTCTCATGAGAAGGCAGGGATTTCTCTAGAATAGGGATTCCTCACCCTTTCTAAGTACGTAAATGGGTGGCAGTCAGGCTTGACATTGTGTCAGCATCGTGGGATTTAAAAATAAGAGCATGATCCCCCATTCTATTTTCTACTCTAAATGGAAATCTTGTTCTGATTATTTTCTTTACAATCCTGGGCACAATGATGCAGATTTAAGTCCCTCAAACATACCCTAAAAGACAGCTAATTTGTTCTCCCTTTTTAAAAAAGTAAAGCACAGAGAAAGATAGGATAACTGGGTTTTTATTTTAATTAGAAAAGTTAAAGAAATGCCATTTTCAGCTCCCACTGGTATTTTGGGGATGAGAGACACATTAGCTACCGCTGTCCACTACCATCTGAGGGCAGATTTGCTGCTCAGAACAGTAGACCTGCAGGGAAAAGGACTTTGGTAAGTTCTGACAGAATAGGAAAGGAGCTGCAGAAATGAATTTAGCCAGACTCACAGTAACTCTCCAGCAATCCCTGCTCATTGCTTTGTGAATGAGGGTTACCAACTCAAAGTCATTATTATTTCAGCTGATCTCCCAACTAGTGGCCCGTGTTAATTATATACTTAAAGATTCCTAAAGACATTTTTGACATTGTGAAATGTCAATAACAAGGCTCCCTCTCTGTGCCTGGGGATGCAAAGTGATCCTAAGTGTCCATTAGCTCTTTTTCCTTGGTCTTTGATTTCAATTGATAGTGAACTGCGGAGCTGTTGAGTGGTACAGGCTTCAGTTCCTTTTTGGGGAGCACATTCATGTTAGTGCCATTTTGCAGGTGGGTGGGATGACAATTTTCTCAACTCTGAGGTTTGCTTTTTCAGTTTGGAATATGGCACTTTTTTTTCTTTTTTACAATTTTTAAAATTTTAGTAGATCTGGGGGTACAAATGGTTTTTGATTCACGGAGAATTGTATAGTGGTGAAGTCAGGCTTTTAGTGTACCTGTCACTCAAACAGTTTACTTTGTATGCGGCACTTCTGACATTGTTCTCGAGCCATTCCCCTGATGATGTCAAGCAGGCAGTTGAGCTCGGAAGAGAGGCTGAGCTGTAGGTAAAATTCAGATGAGGAAAAAAGCATCACACATGAGTCCTGGTTTGTGGCTTGCAAAGCTGGTGGTGTGGTGGCGCGACTGGCTGAAGCGGGAGCCTGCCAGGGCCAGGCCTGACGCCGCACCTGGCAGTGTGGATGGGAAGGTCCCACGCTACTTTTTTTAAAATTTCAGAATATTACGGGGTACAGGTGTTTTAGTTACAAAAATTGCTTTTTGACTATTTGAGTCAAAGTTATTAATATGTATCCATCACCCAGATAGTGTACATTGTACCCGCTAGTATGAATTACCATTCCTTCCTCCCCTCACACCTGCTCAACTCTGTGAATGTTAATTCCACATGTGCACATAAGTGTTGATCGAATAGTTTCAATTTGATGGTGAGTACAGGTGGTGCTTGTTTTTCCATTCTTGTGATACTTCACTTAGAAAAATGGTCTCCAGCCCATCCAGGTTAATACAGAGGTGTTAGCTCACCAATTTTTATGGCTGAGTAGTACTCCATGATATACATATACACATTTTATTAATCCACTCATGTATTGATGGGCATTGGGTTGTTCCACACTTTGCATTGTGACTTGTGCTGCTATAAACATTTGAATGCAGGTGTCTTTTTAATAGGATGTCTTTTTGTCCTTTGGGTCCTCCACACATAAAGTGATTCTTGATGCCCCTCTTCCTCTGCACCTAGACACATAAATACATTTTCCTGATGGTCCAAGTGAGGAAGTCAGCAATGATTTATTTGCTTATCCTGAAGATGGAAATTAAAACCAGGGCTTACATTGGCTAATATTTAACCTACTAAGGCACGCCCATTAGAGAGGGTACCCTAAGTGCTGAGTCAAAAGACCATAACAAAATGCTACATTCTTACCTTTATTCTGAAAAATTATAGTTTAATGGGGCAAAAGTAATTATATACACGTTTCTCACGCATTTTGTGTGTATTTTGCCCACCAGGATTTTAATCTGGCGCAAAGCTCTCTTGATTTTTCAGATCTTCTTTATGACTTGACTAAGTGGGTTTTTAGTAACATTAAAACCTTTTGGCATCTTCAGATATGGTGCCAGAGTGAAATATGGTGTATGTGGGGTTTGATTAGTGGTGTTTTGAGTACATAAAAAAGGTAAGATAAGGAAAAAACACATTCACACAAAAGGCAACAGAGGTTATATAACTCCATTAAGTTATGTTAATGGTTTTACTTGTCAGTACTTTGTAACACAAAATGGTTTTCCTGGAGTCTATTTGTCAGTATTTGTCACTAATTAGTGCCTACAAATTACCTTTTGTACAAGTCCTGTTCATCTGGGTGTTCGGGTGTCTAATAAATCAGAGCCGTTGCAGTTCGTGAACTTTCACTGTTGTCGGTTTTTGCTTGTACTTTTCCTCCTGATGCATCTCAAGGTTTTGCCTCCTCCCCAAAGGTTTCCAACAACTGTGACTCCGTTTTTGTGAATGGGAAGGAAATGAAGAGCAAAGTGGACACAATTGTGAACTTCACCCACCAGCACTTCACCTCCCAGTTTGAGGTCACTGTGTGGGCGCCCAGACTCCCCCTGCAGATTGAGATCTCGGACACGGAGCTGAGCCAGGTCAAGGGCTGGAGGATCCCGGTGGCCTCCAACCACAGAAGGTGAGGACCTGGAGAGAGGACCATGGCCCTGATGCTCCCGGGGCCCAGAGCTCTGTGGGAGGCAAGGTGACCCGCAGGGCAGCGCCCAAGCCCTAGGGAAGCAGCATCCACAGTGGGTAACAGTGGTTGGGGCTTGAGGTTCAGATGGGTCTGACTTGGGTACTTACTAGTGCTTTGACACGAGGAAATTAAAGTAAAGATAATAATAATAGTAACAACCTCATGTAGTAGTTGCTAGGATTCAGTAAAATGATGCAATACATGAGAAGCACTTAACACAAGACCTGGCATTTAGGGTATAGCTATTTTCTGTTCAGTCCCCCTGCTTGTAAATGCCACCCTTCATCCAAGGAGCACAAGTGGTTACAAGACTGTTGGCTCTGGAATTAGGCTGCCTGAGTTTTAACTCTGGCTTTACCACCTGTAGCTGTGTGACTTGGACATGTGACCTAACCAGTCTATTTCTCAGTTTCCTTGTTCATAAATTAGGGATGATGGTATTACTTTCAGTGACTTTATAATTATTTTTAAATTAGAAGTTTTTGAAAAATGAACAGGACACAGTCTGTCCTAAAATAACAGGATTGTTTTGTTTCATCAATGCACCATTTCTAAAAGTATATGTATTCACTGACCATTTTTATGATACTGTCACTTTTTAATGAAACATATACTTAATAGTGCTCTTCTTCCTGCTTTATCTCTTTGCTTAAGGGAAACTTCACATCACTAGCACAAATGGACAATTAATATCATCTATGATAAAATAAATTTAACCTGAAATTAATACAAAGAAAACAAAATAGTATTACTCAATTCTTAGTAGATACTGTTGTCTGCCTGTATGAGTTTGTCTTTATTAACAGAAACTAGCAAGTGTCAGAGCAGCTTTAAAGACATCCTAGCACTGAATAGAGACATTCCTGTGATATATTCAGAGGGATTGAAAAATGAAATAGGAATAACTTTTCAGTATGTCATTCAATGAATGCTATATTCCTCTGCTACCTAAAATGGTCTTTCTTACCCACAGAGATATTCATCCCTTGCTTTGAGAAACGCAAATTGCTATGCTATTGTGATGGTGAAAATTTTTTCTGTCACTTTGTAAATGATTCTCGGACCTTTTAGGGAGGCCGAGCGGCACATTGTAAAGAGGGTGGGTTCCAGAAGCCAAGCGAGCTGGATCCAGGTCTGCTAATTAGCAGTTGTCTGGGCCACCTACTAACCACAACCAGCCTTGGTTTCCTCGAGCAGAAATAGGAACATGTTTCACAGCTGTGGAGAAGGTGGATGGCGTTAGCTTTACAAGGGAGAGGACGCTGACCGAGGGGGTGGCGCCCTGGGCGTGGGCCCCGCCTCTGTAGGTGACCAGTGTGTGGCCTTGGCTGAGTGGCCTCTCCTCCCCTGCCTGGGTGTCCTCATCAGTAAGGTCAGGGAAGTAAGCAACCTCGTTCTTTGGAGTCTGTGGAGATGACAAGAGTTAAACATGCATGGTCGTTGGGTGTTACACGGTCGATTGGCATCGGCTCGCATCCTTACATGCAGCACGTGGCACAGGACACACGGTGGGGCTAACTCAGCACACACGAATCTCTGCCCTGTTCTCCCCTGATGTCATATCCATCCGCTGAGGGTCACAGACTGGTCAGCAGCCACCAGACAAAATGCTCTCGTAAAGGACACAGGACAGGTTTAGTTTTAGCATGACCAGTTTCCAGAACACGAAGGCCAGAGACTCAGCCTCCACCCCTCTGGGGCCTGAGCCTCCCGTGGCTCTGGGTCGGGGAAGGAGGAGCTGAGCCTGCTGCCCGTGTGGCCCCAGTGACCACAAGAGTCCTGGCCAAATAAATGGACGAGCAGTGAGTGGACCCCTGGCTGAGCAGGTCTGTACAGCCCATAGAATCAGGAAGACATGGGCATGGAGGACTTCTTAACAGTGAGGACATTTACTCTGTTTTGGTTCTTTTGTGCCCCAGGCCCACCCGGGAGAGTGACGACGAGGAAGAGGAGGAGAAGAAGGGGCGCGGGTGTTCTCTGCAGTACCAGCACGCCACGGTGCGCGTCCTCACCCAGTTTGTGGCCGAGTCGCCTGACGTGGGTCAGCTGACCTACATGCTCGGCCCCGACTGGCAGTTCGACATCACCGACCTGGTGACCGAGTTCATGAAGGTGGAGGAGCCGAAAGTCGCTCAATTACAGGATGGCAGGACCCTGGTGGGTCGGGAGCCAGGAATAACCACCGTGCAGGTACAGGCCACCCACCCTTGCCCCGCGCCTAACGCCAGGTGGATGCTGCTGTGCAGGGGCGTGTGTGTGTGTGTGCACGTGGACATACATCTGAGCGTGTGCAGTATCGTCTGTGTGCAGGTATTGTCTGTGTGTGTTAAGAGAATCATGAGAAGCAGCAGAGTACATGCCGATTTTAATAATCTAAACTCAGATTAAGTTTTGCATTTTGGAGAGATGTGAGAAAAATATCTAATCTCTTTTACCGGAGAAAGCTAAATAAAACACACACAGTATAAGTACTTTTCCTCAATATGATACTCTGAAAAGTAGTTTTTCCTCCTAACCTTGAATTTTAACTATTTAGTTACACCTTGTACAATAGGCAAAACATTTAAAAAACATATCTTTACCCAAAAAATAATAAAGAATCCATAGTTAAACATTATCTTATCATAGTAATAGTCAAACTGTTTTCTAGCCAGTCATGGTGAGGTAGTTATACAGAAATGGTGCAGCATGTTTTCTTTATGCAAATTTAAAATATTTCTGCTGATCGTTAATTAAGTCATATTTTCGTGTAGCTGAAATTAAGTTTTACAAAACTAGAGTAAATGTGTTATATTCTGTACATGTTTTCTATTTCTGTGTAACAGATTGCCATAAACTTAGCAGCCTAAAAAACATCCACTTATTCTCTCAGATTTCTGTAGGTCAGGAGTCCACATGGGCTGGGCTGGGTTCTGTGCTCAGGGTACCAGAAGGCTAAAATCAAGGACTTGGCGGGGTGGGGCTCTTATCTGAGAGTTTGGGGAAGGAATTGGCTTCCAGGCTCCTTCAGGTTGTTGGCTGAACTTAGTTCTTTGTGATCATAGAACTGAGGTCCCTATTTCCTTGCCGACTGTCGACCAGGGTCACTCTGCTCTGAGAGGCCACCTGCATTCCTTTCCACATGGTTCCTTTCGTCTTTGGTAATGGCCGGTAGAGTCCTTCTGCCGCTTTGAATCTGACTTCCCCTCTGCTACCCTCTGGGAAAAGGTCTCTGCTTTTAAGAGATCATGTGATTACATTGAGTCCACCTGGAAAATTCAGCATAAGCTCCCTGTCTTAAGGCCAACTGTGCCATATAACATCCTATACTCATGAGAGTGCTTTCCCATCATGGTCACAGGTACCAGAGATCAGGGCAGAGCATCTTTGGGGGGACCTTTCTGGAAATTCTGCCTACCCTGTGTTCCTGTCGAGGTTCTAGTCACCCCTGCTTGCATACTAGATGGGGAATTAGGAGGAATGGCTCCTTGGGACATTGAGATTCCCTGTCCCACTTTGTCCAACTGGTTAATGCCTCAATGGCACAGTGGCCATACAATGATCATTACTGTCCCACAGTCACCATCACCTGCCAGATGGAAGGGATGTGAGCAGGAGAAGAGGGCTGAGCACCATTTCCTTACAGTGTTTCATGACAGTTCTGCCATTTTCAAAGCCTAAATATTAGTCGTTGGGAAAATGTTACTCTTTGCCTAGTACCAAGGCAGACAATTTTTAGTTATTCCCTCTAAATTAAATCAAGCTTTTCTCTGAAAATCCACTGCTATTATCATAGTATGAATTAAAGGAAAGAAAATGGATTAAGATGATTTTTATGGAACTTAAGTATAATTGAACAATCGCATCACACTTACTTACACAATTTCCGTAAGTGCATTCATTGCGCAGAGGCCTGGGAGAACACTTTGGTGGAGATGCCAGTTGAGGAGATGAAAATGTGTGTGCGCAGCCAAGACCTGAGCTTCCTCACTCACTGTGCAGGTGCTCTCGCCTCTCTCGGACTCCATACTGGCTGAGAAGACAGTGATCGTCCTGGACGACCGAGTCACCATCGCAGAGCTGGGAGTGCAGCTCGTGGCTGGCGTCTCTCTGTCCCTGCAGCCTCACCGAGCAGACAAAAGGGCCATCGTGTCCACAGCAGCTGCCCAGGATGTTCTTCAGTTCCCACAGCAGGTGAGAGTCCCAGACGCCCTGTGTCCCGGTCAGTGGAGACAACTGCTCTCTCTTGGTTGTCAGGTTGTCACACCCTGCAGAGGTGATCAGTAGAGCTCTCGCAGCCAGGACTCTGATTCTTGAAGCTGCTCTTGCTTCTAGATATTCAGGCTGTCCTGTCTCTGGGAAAAGGATTCAGTGGCTTGAATACATTTCCTCTTATATATTTCCTTCCTTTTACACACTGACCACATGCCCGCATGCCATTTGCTTTCCAGTGGGTTTGTCTGCACCAGGCACAGTCTGCTGCCAGACTGTGACCAAGGAATCACAACTTCTCAGTTTTGCCAGAGCAGGTTGTTTTCGATACTTAGAAATTCCATTTCAGCTACTTAAACATGGTGAGTACGTACCAAATTGCTACTGTTTATAACAATTATTGTCAGCTCTAAAACTCCTCTCCATCTGTAAACTGTTATAGATCCTTTCTAAAGACACAGGCACAGTGCCACTCAAGCCAGCCAGCCTCCTAATGCGTCTTCCCAAGCGCTCCCAGCCATGCGTGTTTTGCCTCATCAGCATTGGCCTCCTAATGAAGAAGGTTCACAGCGGTGTTATCTTGAACAGTAGCCTGATTAGTCTGCACCTGAGATTGATTCAGATAAATTTTCTGATATTTTAAAATGTTTTTAGAAAGGTCAAAGTCAAATTCTGTTGTGTGCATGCAATAAATTAATTTATACTTTAATGCATTCATTGAAGTATATTATTTGTTCCTCATACCGGTATGGCTACAGCCCATCACTGATGACAGTTCAAGGCATACCAAGAAGTGTTCAAGATTATAAAACATGGAAATTTATTTTTCTCTCTTTTTATTTCTCTTTATATTTAAAGAATTATCTAGGAAATCATATTCATGTTTGCAAATTTGAAGGAACCTGATTATAACATAATGCTTTGGTTTCATTTTCCTTAGGAAGCCATAGTTAGTTCTTGGATTTTGTTCAGTGATGGTTCGGTGACACCTTTAGACATTTACGACCCCAAGGATTATTCAGTTACTGTGTCGTCACTGGATGAAATGGTGGTGTCTGTCCAGGCAAACCTGGAGTCTAAGTGGCCGGTTGTGGTTGCAGAGGGAGAAGGACAAGGGCCTCTGATTAAGTTAGAGATGATGATCAGTGAGCCTTGTCAGAAGACCAAGAGGAAGAGTGTGCTTGCTGTGGGGAAAGGAAACGTCAAGGTCAAATTTGAACCAAGTACTGATGAGCACCATGGAGGCACCAATGACATTGAGGGCATAAGTCGGGACTATAAAGACCACCTCGGTAATTCCATAGAGCGGGAAGGAAACCAGGAGAGAGCAGTTCAGGAATGGTTCCAGCATGGCGCATCTATCGGCCACGAGGAGAGTGCCAACAAAAGCACAACCCCACAGTCTCCCATGGGAGGAAGGAACAAGAAGTTACTCAAGAGTGGTAGTCCAGACACCTTCACGAGCTTCCCCACTCAAGGGAAGTTACCGGAGCCCAATAATCCTAGTGACCTCACGGTGACCTCAAGGGGGTTGACGGACTTGGAGATTGGCATGTACGCCCTGCTCTGCGTCTTCTGCCTGGCCATCCTGGTCTTCTTGATCAACTGTGTGGCGTTTGCTTGGAAGTATCGACACAAAAGGTTTGCTGTGAGCGAGCAGGGCAACATCCCCCATTCCCACGACTGGGTCTGGCTGGGCAATGAAGTGGAGCTCCTGGAGAACCCCGTCGACATCACACTCCCGTCGGAGGAGTGCACCACCATGATCGACAGGGGGCTGCAGTTCGAGGAGAGGAACTTCCTTCTGAACGGCAGTTCCCAGAAGACTTTTCATAGTCAGCTGCTCAGGCCCTCTGACTATGTCTATGAGAAAGAAACTAAAATTGAACCTATAAGTTCTTCGGGCCCAAAGAGGAAGAGAGTCAAGTTTACTTCCTACACCACCATCCTCCCAGAGGACGGCGGCCCGTACACCAACTCCATCCTGTATGACAGCGATGACAACATCAAGTGGGTCTGCCAAGATATGGGGCTGGGGGACTCGCAGGACTTTAGGGACTATATGGAAAGACTGCAAGACCAGATGTAAACTCCTTTCTTATGTTTGTATTCACCTTTATGCCTTCTGTTTTTTGAATGGTGGAGCAGTGAGTTTGATCAGCAATAGGGGATGATTTAACAAATTTGCTGTGTGGAGGTCTGGTGGGATCCCTTTCTAAGCAGGCACCAGAGGTCCGAGAGCTATTGCAGCCAGGCGTTCAGCCGGGAAATGCCTCCGAACAGCCACGTGTAGGGACTGGAGAACTTCTAAGACAACTGTTTTACCGACTGCCTGGTTCTAGCTCAGTGCAAATATAATAAACCTGACCCCACAGACATTGTTAGTCATCTTGCGACAAATGGCCATGTGGAATTAGAAAAGATTTGGATGTTGATTTTTCTATTCCTAGACCTTTTAAAGCACAGTGGACACTTAATTGCCCTTGGCCTGAGTTTAGACATACATGAAAGATGACTGAATGTAGCTATCCTTATTTGTTAAGAGCGCTGCTCATTATTTTTATACACATTTGCTCCTGCACCTGTTCCTTTGACCTCTGGAATTCTTTTTGAAACACAAAGAGAAGAAATTTCAGTCTTTTCTTTGAGATCTGTTTGATTTACATATATGAGTTTCATTCCCTGGGATTTGCCATGTCATGTTATTTCCTGGGTCTCCACACAGGATGTCAGGTTTTTCCAGTTTTCTGCGCTTCGTTGTTTAGGGACAGTACCTAAGAAGCTTATTCTTACTTTGTTTTTCCTTTCTTTTGTTGTTGAACTTTCTTGTATAAGACTTGGACAAGGGGTTTTACTTAAAATGTTAATATACTGTGAGGGAGGGCCATCTCTTTACAGTTTTCTACATGAAGTTTCAAAAATTTGGAGAAAAGTTGTGAATCGCAAACTCTTATTTTTATTCTCTACTTGTTGACAATTCCTGGGGAACTCCTGAAGTGTATTTCTGAGGGCAAAAGGACCCCAACGTCACTGTATTTACTCAAGTGCTTTGTGGTCAACACAATTTGTTATCCAAACTGAAATCTAAAAAGTAGCATTGATCTACACAGTAAGGAAATTGCTTGGGAAATAGCTGCAGATTAAACTTTCCATTTTACCAGAACAAAAAGAAATTTTAAAGTAAGTAGAACGCTGTTTCAAGTTAGCAATATATGAAAATCCGTCTGTACAATGACTTCTCCCCAAAATAATCTCAGTCATGATTCTGGTGCAGATAAGGCCTTCACAGGGTGTGCATTGGTGGAGAAAAGCAATGGGTTCCTCCCAAAATCCATACAAATAAGTGGTTGTTCCAGAGCTCAAAAGGCAGCTGTTGTGGAAAAAAACCCCACAGCTATTGAAAAGTCAAAGGGGCAAGAGAAAAAAAGCAACAAATTCCTACATATTTTTTTTTAAAATGTTATTTTAAGAGCGTCATGAATGGTCTTAAGCAAAGCAGGAATTTGAGATTAGCAAAATGTGACAACAGTTCTTATTACGATGATATTGTTGGAAAAGCAGACACCGGACTATTATGCCTCATTATAAGCTTTACTGAGCCATTCGCATTTCTAAGAAATAGAATTTTAAAGGCCAAAAGTAGGAAGGGCTTGCAGGAGGTCACCTGAAGCAGTTCCCCGACTCCAATTGGCTGATAACTGAGCTAGTGGAAAGAGAGGCGTTGAACTGTTCTCTTAGTGTAGATCTCCACGGATGGGAACACGACAGCCCAGCCTCCCCTAGCCATGAAGTGATAGCCAAAAAGTTTCTCTTATGTCTCTGCCCACTGGACTACAGTGTGTTTGTGAATTGTGCTGAAATTGCAGGCAGCACAGGCCTGACCTCCCGGGAGGCCAGCGTTCAGTTGGCTGTGTGAGCGTTTAAAGACAGAGGCTGGTGAAGTTCCAAAAATCTTTCAGTTTGACTGGATAATGAAGCAAGGAGAGTCAGGCATTAGCTGCAGAAGGCGTTTGCAGAGAGATGACCGACATCTTACAGGAAGATCTCCTACTTAGTCAAAGGCTTTTCAAAGGGCTTGGTGGGGAGGTAGTCCAAGGCCAACTGTGCAGGACTGAAGGGAAGTTTATGCGCTAACTGACACACAGCTCTCCAGATGAGTCTAGCTCTTTCTCTGAGACATTTTCAATTCTGTCTCCCTTTGGATCTTTAACATTCCAGAAACAACGGGAATTCACTTCTGAAAATGAAAGTTCTCCACTGAGACAGGGAGGAAATCTCCCTCTCCCACACAGCAGGCTCCCTCCTACTGATAAAGTGAGATTTTGGGCGGGGCGAATAACCTGGGAGGGGGCAGAGGAAATGATCTTTGTCCTGGAAAGTGTCATTAGAGCACTTCCTACTACAAGGGAGTGCTGGATGGGTGCAGGGAGCAAACCGGAGAGCACTTACCGTGCCAGCGTTTCTCAGCAGAGCCGGAAACTGACCACGGCCTGAGGATGCCTCTCGTGGATCACTCAGAGTCACCCAGAGTGACACAGCCTCTGCTCAGTCACCTTTGTTCGTTTGTGTTAAAACTCAGTTCAAGACAAAAATCAAATGGAAGGTCGTGAAAGAAGGGTCCCTTGTACCATATAACATACCCTCAGATGTATATAAACACATATGCATACATATATCCGTGTGTGTGTGCGTGTGTGTGTGTGTGTGTGTGTGTGTGTGAATACAGAAGAGCCAGATGATAAACTATTTCGTGGGAATTGATAATGACTGTCAGTTGTTCTCAGATTTGGTATGGAGACTACTCAGCATAACAGAATTTCATTGAAGTATCGTCCACTCTAAATATTCCCTGCAGATTATAAACCATGGGTTATAGCATCTTGTTTTCTAGCTAGCCAGTGTGCAACTATTAGACACTATACCTTGAAATACCTAAACTAACATGGGGAAAGAGGCGTAAACTAGTAAGCTTTGAAATCTGGTTTCTTGGGGGCTGTGTGTTTGCCTGGATTTGCCTGGATTTTCTGGCTGAGATGGCCAAATTATTGGTCTTGATAAATGACCTGAACCAAACAGCATTTATCAAGTCCCTTCCTTTCCCATGGGAATGGGACACTCAGACTGCCCCCGAGAGAGACACCAGCAAGCTTCTTGAGAGGGCACCACCAAGGGAGGGTCAGAGGCTAGACAAGGACCACATGACCTGGAACAAAAGAGGACGTGCAGCCACTGTCTCCAGGGCCCAGTTGTGCCACGTTAGAGGTCATAACACAGGGATCAAGAACAGCTGCCACACCAGAGAACTGGCGCTTAGCACACAGGTCGTGAAAGAAGGGTCCCTTGTACCATATAACATACCCTCAGATGTATATAAACACATGTTGCTCAAAGGCAACATGTGTTGCCTTTGAGCAAACGCAGGAAGAAAAGACAGTAGGCGCTTGTCGCAGAAGAACAACACCTAGCAAACCTCAGAATACTCCATGTGTACCAAGGGAAGGAATGGTTGACGTCCTAGCTGTTTTGCATTGCACACTGGCCAGGGTAAATTCCCAGACTATACCAATCTTTACTATCTGGACAGAAAGTTTCTATTTATACACATGATTGCAGGGAAAAGTGGAGAGAGAGATGAGTGTACAATTGCTACTGTTTATAACAATTATTGTCAGCTCTAAAATCCTCTCCATCTGTAAACTGTTATAGATCCTTTCTAAAGACACAGGCACAGTGCCACTCAAGCCAGCCAGCCTCCTAATGCGTCTTCCCAAGCCTCCAGCCATGCGTGTTGCCTCATCAGCATTGGCCTCCTAATGAAGAAGGTTTCACAGCGGTGTTATCTTGAACAGTAGCCTGATTAGTCTGCACCTGAGATTGATTCAGATAAATTTTCTGATATTTAAAATGTTTTTGAAGGTCAAGTCAATTCTGTTGTGTGCATGCAATAAATTATTTATACTTTAATGCATTCATTGAAGTATATTATTTGTTCCTCATACGTGTATGGCTACAGCCCATCACTGATGACAGTTCAAGGCATACCAAGAAGTGTTCAAGATTATAAAACATGGAAATTTATTTCTCTCTTTTATTTCTCTTTATATTTAAAGAATATCTGGAAATCATATATCGTTTGCAATTTGAAGGAACCTGATTATAACATAATGCTTTGGTTTCATTTTCCTTAGGAAGCCATAGTAGTTCTTGGATTTTGTTCAGTGATGGTTCGGTGACACCTTTAGACATTTACGACCCCAAGGATTATTCAGTTACTGTGTCGTCACTGGATGAAATGGTGGTGTCTGTCCAGGCAAACCTGGAGTCTAAGGTGCCGGTTGTCGGTTGCAGAGGGAGAAGGACAAGGGCCTCTGATTAAGTTAGAGATGATGATCAGTGAGCCTTGTCAGAGACCAAGAGGAGAGTGTGCTTGCTGTGGGAAAGGAAAGTCAAGGTCAAATTTGAACCAAGTACTGATGAGCACCACGGAGGCACCAATGACATTGAGGGCATAGTCGGGACTATAAAGACCACCTCGGTAATTCCATAGAGCGGGAAGGAAACCAGGAGAGAGCAGTTCAGGAATGGTTCGCAGCATGGCGCATCTATCGGCCACGAGGAGAGTGCCAACAAAAGCACAACCCACAGTCTCCCATGGGAGGAAGGAACAAGAAGTTACTCAAGAGTGGTAGTCCAGACACCTTCACGAGCTCCCCACTCAAGGGAAGTTACCGGAGCCCAATAATCTAGTGACCTCGAGTGACCTCAAGGGGGTTGACGGACTTGGAGATCGGCATGTACGCCCTGCTCTGCGTCTTCTGCCTGGCCATCCTGGTCTTCTTGATCAACCTGTGTGGGGTTTGCTTGGAAGTATCGACACAAAAGGTTTGCTGTGAGGAGCAGGGCAACATCCCCATTCCCACGACTGGGTCTGGCTGGGCAATGAAGTGGAGCTCCTGGAGAACCCGTCGACCATCACACCCATCGGAGGAGTGCACCACCATGATCGACAGGGGCTGCAGTTCGAGGAGAGGAACTTCCTTCTGAACGGCAGTTCCCAGAAGACTTTTCATAGTCAGCTGTCAGCGCTTCTGACTATGTCTATGAGAAAGAACTAAATTGAACCTATAAGTTCTTCGGGCCCAAAGAGGAGAGAGTCAAGTTTACTTCCTACACCACCATCCTCCCAGAGGACGGCGGCCCGTACACCAACTCTCCTGTACTGACAGCGATGACAACATCAAGTGGGTCTGCCCAAGATATGGGGCTGGGGACTCGCAGGACTTTAGGGACTATATGGAAAGACTGCAAGACCAGATGTAACTCCTTTCTTATGTTTGTATTCACCTTTATGCCTTCTGTTTTTTGAATGGTGGAGCAGTGAGTTTGATCAGCAATAGGGATGATTAACAAATTTGCTGTGTGGAGGTCTGGTGGGATCCTTTCTAAGCAGGCACCAAAGGTCCGAGAGCTATTGCAGCCAGGCGTTCAGCCGGGAAATGCCTCCGAACAGCCACGTGTAGGGACTGGAGAACTTGTTAAGACAACTGTTTACGACTGCCTGGTTCTAGCTCAGTGCAAATAAATAAACCTGACCCCACAGACCATTGTTAGTCATCTGCGACAAATGCGCCATGTGGAATTAGAAAAGATCTTGGATGTTGATTTTTCTATTCCTAGACCTTTTAAAGCACAGTGACACTTAATTGGCCCTTGGCTGAGTTTAGACATACATGAAAGATGACTGAATGTAGCTATCCTTATTTGTTAAGAGCGCTGCTCATTATTTTTATACACATTTGCTCTGCACCTGTTCTTTGACCTCTGGAATTCTTTTTGAAACACAAAGAGAAAAATTTCAGTCTTTTTTTGAGATCTGTGTTGATTTACATATATGAGTTTCATTCCCTGGGATTTGCCATGTCATGTTATTTCCTGGGTCTCCACACAG